TTAAACCAATTACTGAAACAAAAATTTTACTCTCTCGTACATACTAGATTTAAAGAATTCAGAACATTTCCATAATCTCCTAAATGTTTTTTCATCTTATTGGTTTTCCATTCATTATATGAAACTGAATAAACTTTATCTTTATCTTTGCATCTTTCATCACTTCCAATATATTTATATCTCAGTTTTGATTTATTGGTTTCATATTCATTAGCGTTTAATAATTCACAGTCTTCCTTTTTAAATAAATGTTTTATGTATTCAGGATTAACAATTCTATAATATTGCTTCCCTTTAAATCTTTGAATATAAACAGGAATTCCATCCTCTTTAATGTCATCAATGATTTCCATTTCATTATTTTCAATTTCTTCTTCTCGTTTATGAGGTCTTTGATTATGACTCCATTGATTCCATGAAATTAAATATTCTTTATCATTATATTTATACCTCATTAGCTTATTTTGGCTTTCATATTCATTTAATAATTCACAATCTTCATTTTTAAATTGAAGTTTAACCCATTCAGGATTTAAATGATGTTTAATTAATCGTGGAATATCTGACATCATCTATATATAGCTTCTTTTATAAAAGATAAAAAAATAAATTATTTTAAAATTAATGTTAATTTTTTTAATGGTTTATAAATAAATATATTTTAATGCATCGTCTATATATAGATGTAACAAAAAAAGTCACTAAACCCGTCCTATCCTACTACTTTTCAAATATTGTATATGATTATCATAGATTACCAAAATATATTGCTATTTATGAGGATATAATATTGATTATTAGTAAATCGTATAAATTTAATAAATATACCATGAATATTGAATGAATTTCTTGATTCATAGGGGTAAAACGCGCTTTTATATGATTTAGACAGAGAATTTATGAGATGTAAATAACACAATAAAGGTTTATATTGAATATTTTCTAAAAATAAATCGAAATTATAAAAAACAATACATTCATTTATTCATTGAAACTACTTGGACAAATATGAAACAAGCATTCAGGCAATACTTTTGAGACTTCAACGCATCTGATATATTTTTATATATACTTCACCTCTTATGCTTAGAGTGGAGGTATTGAGATCGTATAAGTATAGATGATGAGCTCACATTCAGATATGATGTGTGAACTTCTGTTTTCACTGCAATTTTGAATCAGAATAAACTTAAAACAAGAATAAAATGATATACTCACTCTCTAAATGTGTTCGAGATTTAAAGTTGTATGAATAAAACGATTCATCTTTCGAAGCCTCCCATTTAATGAGAGACTTCGAAAGATGAATGTATTCATGTAGATGAAATACTATATATGACCATGTGTGATACTAAAGATATCAAAATGTTCATTTTTAAGTGCAATAGAAGGGTTATCTCTCGTAAAATCTCAATTTAAGGAAGATTTAGAAAGAACTCCTTTCCTAAGTAGATAGTGTGTGGTTTCTGTCTTTTGGTTGATCAGGAACTATGAAATTAAGTCGGACAGAAAGAAGTTCTTTCCAAAACAGACTCCAAATGAGTTGTTCGAAAAGAACTTCCTTTGTATATGGATAATTGTAGTTACCGCACTGAAGTATGTGATTGTGATGATGGAGTTCTCGATAAATCTAAAATCGGATTAAGATTAATTGAAAACTCAAGTAATTCTTTGAAATCTTGTGTTGTCTGGCACTATAATAACCAAAGAATGAGAATATTATGTTGAATGATGAGTACGTGTGCTCGGCATTCGCCGAGCGAATTGAGTTTAACGTACTATGAAAAAGTGACAAATTTGGGCTTTTTTTCCTAGGGTTATGATCTCTTCCTTTCTGCTCAATACAACAGAAAGGAAAGAATGAATTTGTACTCCCTAATTGATTACTACAATCTGTATCTATCTTTAACATAGAATTAGCTGCATTGTGATTTATACTCCAGAATTATTTCAATTTAAGATCAACCTCGTAAATTTTAATCATATTGCACCAATACTCCTACGTTGAGATAAGAACATGATTATACATACCAAAGCCCCATATTAAAAAATCAAAATTTAGCACCTCCATTATGCAACCACATTATTCGTCGCAAATAAGTATATTTACGCATATTATGATGCATATTCACACAACTCGTATACATGAAAAAGTTATTAAAATCAGACAAAATTATTGCAATAAGGAAAAAAAAACAACTTTATTATATATGTTAGTAATGAATTACAAATATTTCTACAAAGAATGCTCAATACTTCATATAATCTTCGAATATTTCTTATTACAAGTTAATACATTTTGACTCGAACATGATAAACAAAAGCTGACACGCTGATTACTACATTTATGAAAATATAGTACGTTTCCATTCATCTGTTTACTTGTTTTTGTTGGAATAAAATCATTTTTTTTTTCTTTCATGAAATAAGAATTTTGCTGCGAAAGCAATATCTCTAACAATAATTAATACATTACGTCAACTCTGGAATGAGTATTTATCAAATATGATATCAAAATCAAAAATTAGTTTTTTTTATGAGTCAAAACGATGTAAATTGATTATTTGACTAATTATCAAATACTTTGATTTTCCAAATTTTTTTCGAAATTGATTTTTTCATGTGAAATTCAAATTGTTTAATTTCATTTTTTGAAATTTTGAATTTTTTTGGAATTTTGAGTTGATCAATTCAGCAGAATTGATAATGCTATTGCTTTAGGGCATACCACAAGGTGATGAATAAAAGGTGACATTAACAAATTATTTTAAATCACAAATATCATCCTCATCAACTTTAATTCTAAAAAGAACTGTACTGAATTATGAAAATGCATGATTTACATTATTAAAATCTTTGAATGAAAATAGTACAAGATAAGTTTTTTATTCATTTTTAATTAGATTTAAACGAAAAAACTACTCCATATTAAAATTTAAGTCGAGAAATCGTATTTTGTTCTTATTTGTTAGCATTTTGTAGACATTCTAATCTTGAATTAATTTGTTACATGATATTATTAACAAATTTAACTGAAAAAAATATGTTAATATGGAATAAACCATGATTATATAAGCTATCAATGCTATATATACATATGTAAAAGATTCATATTAACTCAATTAACAAAAAATGATAGATTTTCATAAAGGTTCAATCTAGGTTCGTCCGAAAATTTTGATTTTTATATAGAAGACATAGTTTCATATACATAATTAAATTTTCAAACAAATTTGATCATACCATTTATTAAGCAGGATAGTATATTAATTACTATCAGTATAAAAATATAAAAATGATTATATTTAATTATTGCATAATTTAGTCAAAGAGTTATAAGCCTCAAGTGATCGTTATCACCTTCAATGCACGTATACTTTATTGATTCATAGATATTTAATCTATGTTTGACATGTTGTTGTCGTCATTCGTTTTGTTTCCATTCTTCCTAAGTTAGAATTAGAGAATACACCATCCACATCATCTAATTTGGTCCTCAGCGATAGATTGGTTCATTTTGGAGGAGTCCCATCAGACAGTTTTCGAGCACCAAATATCAAATTTTAATGTATACAAATCTTTAGTGATTTATCTCTTTTATGATGAGTAAAAGGTTTCTGCTCATCAACATTTGATTTCCGACATATATGATTTCTAATTGCAATTATTTACTTTCTTTTTATAATCTAACTCTGTGACTCATACCATAAATTAATTATTGGAAAGTGTCAATATGTTTGGCACAACGCATGGCGGAAGATACCAAACCATGCAGGGAATATGATACGTTTAAGATCTCCGAACTTTTTTTCCAAAAATTTTCTATCGTTGCCCTACCTCTTCGATTTCTCCTTCATTCAAAACTGCGTATCCGAAGATATGGGATCAATTAACATCCTAGTCAGATCAATGAACGATTATCAAAATATTGCTCAAAGAATAATTGAAAAAATTTTTCCGGTGGTCATCAACTATTTTTAGCCAAAATTGTGAGAACGTTCATACCCATGAATTATATAGTAAAAATAATTTATCCAACATATTTATTCCTTCTGGCAATTTTTTTTTCGAAATTTTCATCCATTTTTTCATCCTTGTTATTAATTCATGTACGGCTATTCAAACAGTATAGCTAAATTTTATTACCATCCGTTCTCATTGTTTCATTGTCAACTTCAATCCTAAATTTTTGTGCCGAATTCAACAAAATGCTATATTCAATTTAATAAGAGTCAGCATAATTACAATAGTTTTAACCACAAACTCCTAAATCTTTAACACTTTTATGTAAAATCCCGACATCCATTTGGCTACATATCAGTCTATGCCATAGTTTCTTTTTGTCAAATATGATTAATGAAATAACATGACAATCAATCTTTTCATTCCAGAAAATTTACACTTTTTCGACGTTTTGTCAGGGGCGCGAAGCGACCCAAAAATGTCGGAAAAGTGTAATTCTCAGGTATATGATTATTTTTGCTTTTAATGCCGAACAGCATTTGAATCAAAAATAATCGTATGTCTGAGAATGAAATTTGATTTCCATTCGTAACTTAAATTGACCAGATAGCGTCCTATTTCAGTTTAAAGGTAAAATGAAGCCACGTTGTACAAATATGATTCTAACAATTCATGATTCCCATAAATCAATCTAAATTTTAATGCATATGTAAAAACTATAGAAATATGAAAGATCACAAACAAATTATGTGCATTGAATATAAATTTTATTCTTTTGGTTTATAAGTCCTCAATGAATCACTCTTAATTTGATATATTGATTATTTAGCCTTTCCATTTAATTGTCTGAATCCAGAAACAGTTATTACTACCTTATCCGTGATTAATCATATACATTGCAGTGGTATTATAAAATAAAGCAACGAATATAGTGATGAATATCACATTAACTATAATATGGTAAGTAGGATATCGAAAAAAAAATGTAATTAATTCATAAATAGAAATATATATTTTATAATTAATAGATAGGAATATTACATTAAAGTGCCTTCTTCGCCTTCTGAAATTCTGACAATTTCCATGAAAACTTTTTCGAGAGAAGATGATGAGCAAGTATAGTACTTGAAGCCATTATCTCCCTTCTTACCTTCTTCCATCTTCTTGAACAATACGCCCAAGTTGATAGAGATAGCAGGAACATTATAAATTCTAGCAGAAGGTCTCTTGATAGAGATAGCAGCCTGTGGGATGTTCTCCTGGAAGAACTTATCAACCTTTTCACCTGTCTCTTCCTGTTCATCTTCTAACTGCATATCTACCTTGAAATCTGTACCGAACTTAGACTGAAGGTACTGTGGGGAACCAACTGTATAAACGTTACCCTTAATCATGATGGAGATGTTATCGCAAAGAGCTTCAGCTTCAGAAAGCAAGTGAGTGCAAAGCATGAATGTCTTCTGGCCTCTGTAGTACAAAACCATTTCGTGAACTTGTCTTCTTGAGACAGGATCCAATGTAGCTGTTGGTTCATCGAGAAGAATGATCTGAGCACGACCAAGGAAGGACAAAGCGATAGCAAGCTTTCTAACATCACCTTCTGAGAGTTCTCTGATTGGAATATCCTTGATATCCTTGAGATCAAGCAACTGGATTAATCTCTCAGAGTTTCTCTTTTCGTGTTCTGGGCTCATTCTGTGTAACAAAGAATAGAAGTGGAAGTGTTCACTGATTGTCATATCCATGCAAAGATGTGTGTTGAACTGTGGGCAGACAGCCAATAATGATGGATCATTCTCAACCATGATATCCTTACCATTGATTTCGATTGTACCATCAGATGGTGGTAAGAGAGATGTGATCATGTTGATAAGTGTTGTCTTACCAGCACCGTTAGCACCTAAGAAGCCGAAGAGAGATCCCTTCTTGACACCAAGAGATACCTTGTTAACGGCTGGAATTGGCTTGCCTTCTGTGTTGAAGAACAATCTGGATACGTTGTAAATTCTGACAGCGTAATCTGTGTTTTCATCAACTTCTTTCTCCATATCGTGAGCTTCCTGTGTGACTGGATGCTTCTTCTTCTGTTCTTCGAAGAACTCGTGGTAATCACCGAAGTTGGACTTAGCAGCCTTTCTCTGAAGGTGAATTCTCCATCTCTCAATGAATATAAGAATGCATATGTAGATAACAATATCAACAAATGCATAGATGGAATATGGCTGAGCAGCGGATTCTGACTTGAAGTAGTACTTAAGACCATCATGGTTATAAGTATATGTAATGAAGACCTGCTGCATGTAACCTTCTATAAGAAGTGGTGGGAAGAGACCGTAGATCCAGCCTGTCCAATGTGTCTTATTAAGAGAGCCAAGTGGATCGTTGAAATCGAGTGTGACAAGTGTAACGATGATTGGAATGATAAGAAGAATAATGTTGCAGATGAAAGCGTTACGAGAAGCGGAATCTGCATCATTGAATAAGAAGGAGAGAGAGTAAATGTAAAGGATCATTGCTGGACCACAGATCCAAAGAATGTAGTATGTTTGGCCTAAGTTCTTTGAGAAGTTTTCAACACGGCAAATGACGAACAAGACCCAAACCAATGTAACTTCGATTGTCCAGTTGATGAAATCGAATAAAAATGTAACAACCCAGTATGGAAGGATTTCAAGGTTGCATGAGACCATATATGCTCTGATTGGACCTTGAATATCAATAATAGGTGTAACAATAACTGTTGTGATGATACTTGTGAGACCAGCAGCAATAAGAAGTGGAGCAACGACAGAGAAAATGATATCTCTGCCCTGACCAGCTAATAAGGAGTAAATAATGTTCAAGTTGCAGTGCTTACTTAAACCATATGCTGCATATTTTTGTGTAATGATACTCTTAAATGGTTCTGGGAACGATGAAAGGTTCGGAGGGGTTGTGAGAACAGCATACTCGATTCTGTAGAGGTTGACGTAAGAAATAAGGGACATATTATCAGCAACCCATGATTGTGTACTCATAGCAACTGTATCGTTCCAGATCATTGTTAAATTGTTACCACCTTGTGGGTTATATTCTTCTGGAAGACCAATACCCATTGATACAAAGATACCCTTTGATCTACAATCGGATATGAACTTATTTGCGGATTCTATATTATCGTAGAACCGAATATCAGCATCTGTTCCTGTATCTTGTTTATAAAGCTCTTTGATAACTTCAACATACTTTGACTGGAATGGCTTCTTAGTGAAGTTATTCGCGTAATCGGAGGCGATCACAGGAAGAATGTTACCCTTAAATGGATATGCTGTAAAGTTGAAGTATTCGAACTTATCACTAACAAGAGTGTTCATAAGAGCCTTGACAACAATAGCTAAGCAAGAAACGACTAAAGTAACGATGATATTTGCAATAACTGAACCAATAGATCTCTTAACACCGATCCATCTACGATAGAACATAGCTTTGAACTGTGCACCAGCTGGATGGTGCTTAGCATCGTCTTCCATCTCTTCCTTTTCATCCTTTTCAGGATTTGCGTTGTAGATGTCGGTTGTCCTTCTTTGGATGCGAGAAGATCTTGGTGTTGACTGTACTTGAGGAGTAGTAGCAGTCTTTGGGGACTCCTGCTGTTTTTCCTCTAATGGAGAAGTACTACTATCAGACATGATTTGATGTTTAATGATGTCAAAAATTTGGACCAGATTAGCATTGAAATTTCGTGATCGCTTTTTTTCTCTCAATTGATAGGGATAATTTTACATTAAGATTAATAAACCATGTACATTTCATATATTCAACGAAAATGATAAAAGCCATCAAATCGTAATAAAATTTATTCACTTTTTGATAAGTCTACGATTTTCGAATTTTGTGCGATGATCGTATTTTAGGTTATCTGACCTGGAAGGAGTACGAATAAATAATAAGGGTTTAAAATTGAGGAAAATTTTTACTTGGCAATTGAAAGTGATCGCTTCTCAATTGAATCCATTCAATTTAATCGGGAGATTCAATAGAGCCACACAATTAGCGTAACCATTCATTTAAGAACAAATGAGTGAAGACAAAGCAGACGCTCAAGTCGTTACTCCAGGAGGTCTTTGGACAGATAGACATCCATCTTTCAACCGTACATTAAATTCTCTCTTCAGAAGATCTTTCTTAGTAAAGATCAGAGATGCAGGTACAATCGTTTCCGAAATTATTGCTACAGTTATTATCTGCATCCTTATTGTTTTCTGGCACGTCGCAGAAAACCCACAAGACGCTATTACAAAAACAGATCTTATGACTTCAGATGGACTTTTCGATAATGCCGTTGTACAAATTCAGAAACTTGTTCAGCTTGGTAGAGGCGGTAACTTCGTTGCTGGTCCTAAAAATTCTACTACACTTCATCAGATGCTTGCAGGTACATGGGGTAAACAATTGATTCCAATTCTTGATTTGGGTATGTACGCAAAAACAGGTGATGTTAATAAGAGTGCAAAAAGTTGGGTTAACATTTCCGAAAACTTCACATATGTTGACAGCATGGCAGAAATCAAGGATGACTTCGATCACCACGATACCTTCTCCAATGCTATCTGGTGGGATAATTATGATGATCCAACATTTTGGTCTAATTTCACTGCTCACATTTACGAAAACCAGAACTTGGTCATGATTTTCAACCGTAACGTCGATGCAGTTGCAGCTTTCACATTTTTAATTGCTGGTAAAATTATAAATAGCATCAATGGATTTGTTAATTTTAAGATCATGAGCTATCCTGGTCTTCTACCAGAAGTACAGCGACAGCTTATGTTACAACCTTATGGCAACACAAGCTTCACAGTTCCAAACATCTTTGCCAGTAAGATGGAAAGACCAAAGGTTACAAACGAAATGCCAATTAACATGGCTGTCGCTTTCTTCTCTGCTATTCCAATGGTTCTTGCTTCCATGCCAGATCTTTCCATGGTCCTTAACGATAAGGAATCCCACATGCTCACATTCATCTTCCTTATGGGTGCCAGTGAAGCCGCTTACTGGATTGTCAACATTGTTTCAACATTCGTTATGTGCTTCATCCCATACTTAGTCATGGATATCCTCTTCTCAGCTTGGCTCGCTATGGCAGGTACAAACTTCTTGATCTTGTTGATCCTTTCTATCCTCTTCATCCTTTCATACACACAGTTCCAGAACTTCTTCTCCACATTCTTCACAAAGGCAGGAACTGGCCGTGTTCTCACAGTTATCTTCCTTATTCTCATTCTTTTCTTCGGCTACCTTGATGAAGTTTACACATTAGATGCTCCAAAGGGTGTTAAGCACGTTTTCTCTCTCATCCCATTCGTTTCATACGAATTAGCTATGTCAGTCATGTACGAAGAAGTCAGAAACAACAGACCAGCTATCGGATGGAGCGATGTTAAGAGAAACAATCTCAAGTACCCAATTTGGTATGCCTTCATGTGGTTATCCCTCGATATCGTCATTTGGGGCTTACTCTTCTTACTCTTCAACGCTACAAATGACAGAGGTTTCGGTTCTCCAATCATCAGATGGCGCGACTTATTCAAGTGCCATCTCCAGGTTGCCCCAGAAATCGAATTAGAGAACATCAGAGATGAAGATTCAATCCTTAAGGTCGAGCACCTCGTCAAGAGATACGGCAGCAAGACAGTCAACGCCGTCGATGATGTTTCCTTCGATATCAAGAAGGGCGAAATCATCGTCATGATCGGTCCAAACGGTGCTGGTAAGTCATCAATCTTGAATGTCGTTTCCGGTGCTATCCCATCAACACATGGTACACTCGCTTTAGGTGATAAGGATCCATCTACAACATTCTCTGGTATTCAGAACTGCCTTGGTATCGTTTTCCAGGATAACGTTATCTTCAGATTACTTTCCATCAGAGAACACCTTGAAATCTTCGGCAGAATCAGAGGTATTGATGAACAGACACTTCAGGAATCTATCGATTTCTTCGCTGATAACTTGCAGCTTAAGGAAATGCTTCCAAACCGTGCTGGTGATCTTTCTGGTGGTCAGAAGAGAAAGCTTTGCATTGCTATGGCTCTCCTTGGTAACCCACCAATCATCATGATGGATGAACCAACTGCAGGTGTCGATGTCCAGGCTAGACAGTTGATTTGGAAGGCTATCTCCAACCTTAAGAACTCTACTTGCATCATCACAACACACGCCTTAGAAGAAGCTGAAGCTGTTTCATCTAGAATGTTCGTCGTTTCTAGAGGTCAACTCAAGTACGCTGGTACATCAACAGAATTAAGAAACAACTTCAAGTGCGGTTACGTTCTCAAGGTTGACTCAGAAGCTGAAGCTATGCCAAATATCTTAGAAGCTGTTAAGAAGTTCGTCCCAGAAGCTGCTATGTTAGAAGAAAGAGATGACTCTATTACACTTCCAGTTTCTGGTGAAATTCCAGATCTCCTTTCTTACCTCGATGATAATAAGGAGAAGCTCGGTATAGAAGGTTATTCATTCTCTGTAGAACAATTAGAAGATGTTCTCATGAGAATTGTCGAAGCTAACTAATCTTTTTTTATACATTTTTTTCTATATTATTTTAAACACTATAATTTTTAACAAATTTTCATAATTTTTTTTTTCAGAAAAATTAAAAATTTTGTCACTTTTAGCAGATATTTCACTTTAATTTTAGAGCGTCGTACTAAAATAATTTATAGATAATTATTTACAAATGTGTTACATATTAAGTTCTGTCAAAATGTAAGCTATTGAATTTTTTGAGAGAGAAATAATCGTCGAGGAAGTAAAAAGTGACGCTTTAGGAAATATTATTAGAAATATGATAATAAATATATTTGGAAAAATATGTTTTTTCAAAAATTGAAATGTTCATAGAATATTTTGAAATATGTAGGGAATTGAATTTGGTAATATATGATAAACAGGATTTTTAAATTTCAAGGAAAAATAGCTTTTGTGAATACTTTTGAGAACTCTTCTCAAAGATCATGATTCAAATATATTAAGGAGCCAAAATATTAGAGATGAGTTCACAATCAAAATTTTACATTTTAATTATTTAGAAAAACGTATTAACCTCAATAAAAAAAATATCTCAAAGATTAATAGTTAATTTAGGGTTTCCTAGCTATCTAGAGGGAATTGTTCCTTATGATGTATATATTTATAATGTATGCATCATAAGGAACAATTCCCTCGCTGAAGTGAGAAAACTTGTTCGCAATCATTTCGCATTGCGAACAAGTTTTCTCGTTTTTAATAACAAACTAAAGGCTATGAGGCACTAATATATAATCAGTGCCTCATAGCCTTTAGTTCCCTGTAGAAAAGATCGAAATTTTATTCTGATTTTAACTGATCTATATTTCGCTTGCGTTATTTGAATCTTTTCTTTTGCATATGTCATTCCTTTCACTTTTCGAATTTCATTTGCCTGCATGCTCTCTCGTTTTGGTTGAAAATCAACTCAATCTTAAAATGAACTTCTTCATTCTTTACAATAAATTCAATTTTTTTCGAGATATATCTTTATCTACCCCTATGTGAGCTGCATATTCTTTCTCGCTAAATTCTTTTGATTCTTCAGAGCTAAAAATCAAGTTTAATAAAAATAATGTTTATTCATAATTTTGAAAACCAAATTCAAATTTGAATGAGAATTTTTGAAAAAAATATAGAATATTTCAATAGTTTGGAATCTCTTCAACTTCCCACTGCTTATTAACACATTTTTTCCAGAGCGGTTTATCATCCTTGGTCCATTTCTTAAATTTGTTGTAAACCTCTCTTGGAGTGTATGGTCGAACTCCAATTTTTGGATGAGCGCCATGTGGCATGTCATTGTATTTTTGCCTGAATTCTTCCAATTCCTGATTGATGCTCTCAAATTCTGAAGACTTTGGAGCATTTTTGTCCAGTGATGGCCAGAGGCGTTCAATTTTGCCATTTTGACGTGGCATGTATGGAGCTGATTTTCTGATTTGAATGTCATAAGTACTCAAAAATTTTGTGAACTCTCCCTCATTTTCTTTACCGTTATCTGACCAGAAACAGAAAGGTGCTCCATATTTTTGAACTGTTGCAATTGCCACTTTTGAAGTTTCTGTTGAACTTTTGTTACGAAGCAATTTCAATGCTAACAAATAACGACTTTTGTCATCAATTATTCCATAAACCGGTAAAGTTTCTGGTTCTTTCAAAAAATGAATATCCACATGCCAGATTGTATTTGGAAGAATTGCTTCATAATCCACATAATATGCTTTTGGATTACTTTTATCTTTTTCTTTGTAAATTCCCAGAAATTTTGCTGCCTTAATAACTGCATTGTAACTGATTTGAAATTGTTTTGGATTCATATTGAGAGTCCAATACAATTTTTGAACCCCACATTTGTAATTTTCATAAGAATTCTGAACCTTCAAAATTAATTTTGCAAATTACCTCAGACTTTTCAGAGGATTGAGTGGCAACTCAATCCTCTGAAATAGTCTGTGGTAATTTTTAGTCTCTACACTATTTCAATATAAGCTCCATTTTTAAACAGTTTTTAAAAATCGAGCATTGAAAAGTGTGATGAGACTCTGGAGTTAATTCCTCTTGTGGAGGACCACTTTTAATTTTTGGTGTACCACCGATTTCTTTGAATGCTTTTTTGAGAGTATTTCTTGAAATTTGTTTGAAAATTGTAACATTTTGATAAGAATATGGAACTTTTTTCAAAACTGTTGCGTATGTTAACTCACCATAAGGATGTCAATTCGGAAAATTGTTTTCATTTTAGGAGAATATAATTTTCCTTTTCGAAAATTTAAAAAGTGAGACGCGCAGGATTCGAACTTTTTTAAAAGTTGATTTAAATATATTCTAGTGTGGATTCTAAGGATAATATCATATTTAAAATAAGAATATACTAGTTTAGGTGGTATAATTTTTTTCGATAAATTTGAGAGCATGTACGTTTAGGACATCAAAAGTGTCAATTCGCTCAGCGAAAGCTGAGCTAGCTTCGTTCTCGAAAGAATAGGGAAGGAGTGAAAGAGAGTGATACAGATGTTGACACATTCATATCATTTCAACAAATTTTGATCAAATTGAAATGCAATGAAATTCAATTCACTTCATATCCTTCAGTCAGTACATTGACATCCTTCTACATCACAATGATAACTCGTGCATCAATAGTTCTACAACTAACTCAGAAAAAACAAGATTTTTCTTCCAGCTTACAGCTTTTAAAAAGTTTCGATGATAAAAATCACTCTACTCTTGTTTATCGATATGTTGTGATAGTAGGTAAACGTATTCTTATCGATATTAATAAAAATATTTTTACGAAAATCTGAACCAATTACAGAGTTATTCATAAAGTTTATGATAACTGTAATTACTTCATCTTTGTTTTATATTTGAATAAACAATTTAATTTAATTTGCATAATTTTTTTTAGTTGAAAGACAGGAAACTTAGTTGAGTTTGTATTATTTTTATCGTTCAATTCATTGTATATGTGAGTGATCCAGATATTTAAGATATTTAGAAAAAATTATTAATTTGATTAACAAATTTTAATCAAAATAGCAAAAATCTATTTGATAGCTGTAAGCAAATAATAATTTCTATTTCAACCAAAATCACTTATTTTCATCTAAACGTATAAAATTGTCAATTTTATGAGAATAAATTTAAAATCTCATGAAATATAAAGGAGAGTAATATTTTTCAATTTTCTTTTTTTCTTTCTCTCAAATATTTTCTATTGGGAATTTTCTTGTTATCAAAAAATAATTTTAATATTTGTTTATTTCATTACATACAATAAAATTTTAAAAACTCTATTTCTTCACAAGAAAATTTTTTTCCTTCATATGAAGAAACATTTTGTTCTCCATTTGATGCTGAGTCTAAATCTCGATTTTTGAATTTTCTTCTTTCCAAATTTCTTTTTTCCAAATTAGAAGTTTAATTCAAATTTTCAATAGTTTATATATTTTCTCAAACCGTCTTAGATTTTCTCACTTTTTAGGGATTTTCTCTCAAAATATACAAAAATAGTAATACCAATACATGTGTCTAATATACTTTAAAACCATCGTGATAAAATTCAAAAACGAAGAGTTCTTCTCTCCAAATTTTTTTCAAAATCAAAAAAATGAGATAAAAAAATACGTTTGGAAAATTCATTTTTAGCATTTTAGGAATTTTCTCACTTTTCTTCCAAATTGACATCCTTACTCACCACTTTCAAGTTTTTCATACATATATCTTACCCATTCATTTGGAATACGAGGTCTCGAGTTTTCGTTCATTTTTTTTACTTTACAAAACTGTTTATTTTTCAGAATTTTTAAATTTGAAAAAATCCATTCTATATCTGATAAATAATATATTATTTTTCAATCAAAATATTTTGATTATCATCTCAAAAGTGTTCTCAAAACCTAGTTTTTCTTATTTTGGATAATCTTAATATTTATATTATTATAAACTAATTGAACACCATATGTTTTTGTATACTTTTACAAAAAATTGATAGATTTGTGATACTTCCCCCGACGATAGTATTGAATAGCTTACATTTTGACAGAACTTAATATGGAACATTTCACTAGCTAAAATAAAATAAGTTAATGGCTCTCCAAGTATAAATCAAGGGCAAACAGAAATATTTTTTGGCATCCTTTCCAACATTTTGTTTCAATAAAGTTATTTGAAAAACCAATCATATTTTTATTGTATTAATGAAAGCATTTGTATTTTATTTATTTCTTTACTTGTTCTTTGAATTATATAAAATTAATTGAATTCCATTTCTTGTTATTTGCATTGAGAATCAATGCATTAGATGGAATAAAATTTGAAAAATATTGTAAATATATAGAATTTTGAAAGACAACCTTAAATAGTTTAATATAACAATATATCAACTGACCAATCAATTACTAAAATTCAATTTCGGTTAGGTTTTTCAGAAGTGTCATTTTTTTCAACCATTTTTAATCTTTTATCTCCTATTAAATTTCAAGCGTAATAAATCAAATTATTATTTTATATATCTCAAAATTGAATGTTTCCAGTTTCTATGAAAATTAGTCAGTCAACCAAATTTTTAAAAACCTCAAATAATACAATTTTTAATAACTTATCTTTGCATGTGATCAAATATAACGTTAATTCATACTGATTGAACTTTTATGTCAGTTCATCAAGGTAATTTAATGACGCTTTATATCCGTATTAAAAGCTGTACAGAAGTTGTAGATAAGAAAGGTAAAACAAATACATTTGTTATGCAATTCCAAGAATATGGAACTCCTAATAGTGCTATTTCTTCAAGATTTCATGGCGACAAACCAAGATTTAAGGACGAAATTCTTGAAATGCCAGTTAAAAAGTATGAAAAACACCGTCTTCTTTGCGATATAACTACATGTTCCCAAGATAATCCAGTTATTCTTGCTCAATTAGTTTTTCATTTAGCACTTCTTCCAAGAAACAAACAAACGAAGATTATTTTTGTTTATCCAAAGACCAAGTATGGTGTTCACATACAAGCTTCCATCGAATTCCATTATTCAACAAATGATTCTGAACCTTTCGATGTTCCTTTCAAAGAAATCAAAGCTGAGGAGTTCCAGAGGTCTATGCAAGAAGGTGTCAATATGTCCAACAATGATAACAAGAGATATACAATCAAAGCTGCTGCATATACTGATGAAGATGAAAGAGCTCGTATTGTGTCCGAAAAAATCCACAGAGCACGTGATGAAACTAATGAAGAACCAGAAGATGACGTACAGATCACAAAATCCAGCGAATCCAAGAAAATTGACTCGAAATCTCCACAAAAAACATTTGTTGCAGACATGCCAGTTGCACCAATGGTTGCTCCACCACCAACAAACGCTCCTTTATTCGAAAACCAAAGCTATAGCTCTGTTCAATACAAAACTCAAACTCAGATGCCAGTTCCCTCACCTCCTCCAGCTTCTTCACAACTACCACCGATGGACACATGGATTGACCAGCGTCTTACCCCTGTTCCAAAGCCTCCTGCCGATAGAATTCAGTATTTCGCTCAATTCCAGCAAACAGTCAAAGATTATCAGGCCCAATATGGACCACAACATGCCAAACAATACTACGACCAATACATTTCGTACTTCCAAGATTGTACGAGTTATTTAACTTATACAGAAGAGAGAAAGAAGCTTGTTATCCAATATCAGCAGTTACAACAGCAATCGATCCATCCTCCACCACAATATAATACTCTTCCCCCTCAAAATCCTCGTATGAATTATCCAACTCCTCAGCAACAGCAATCCATGCAACAGATACAAATGCTACAGCAACAGATCAACATGCTGATATCACAACAGCAGCAAGCCCATCAACAACAGCAATCAATGCAACAAATACAACAACTACAGCAACAAGTACAATTCTTACAGCAGCAACTACAGCAACAAAATCAGCAGCAACAGCGGCAATCCAAGCAACAGCAGTTTATTTCGAATCCAATTCCAGTCCAAAACAGCCAGAATCCACAGCAGAACATTCAGTACCAACAGCAGTATCAATACAACCAACAACCGCCGATGCAGAATGTTCAGCAAAATCAATATCAAAGTCAATATCAGCAAACACGACAAACAATGATTTCTCAGCCACAGAATCAATACCAGACACAATATACAATGCAGCAGCAACCACAATACCAGACCCAGTACCAATACAACTACAACCAACAGATGATGTCAAGTAGTGACTCAAATCCCCAGTTAAATTTCGTTCCTCCCCCTCAACAAAAATTACCAAATGAATCTCAACAGTTATATTCGATGCCAGTGATGCAACAACCACAACAACCTCAATTACAACAAGTGCAAGTGATGCCTCCGAACCAACAAATTCAACCTGATCAACCACAATTACAACAATTACCAGTAATGCCGCCTCCAAAGCAGCCAACACCACCACAACCACAGCTTGCACCACTCCCTGTCATGCAGCCTCCTCAACAACAAAATACAGTCATACAAAATCAAGAAATTCCTCAATTACCAGTAATGCAACCACAACAACCAGCTCCACAGCAACCAGTACCACAACAACCACTACCACAACAAACAATGCCACAACCAGGAGTTAATCCTCAGATGCAGACATTTTCTCAGAAGAACACAACTTCTCCTTATAACAAACAGAATAATCTAGCACAAGAACTTCAACAAAAAGGATTACCACCTCCTCCAAACATTACTATGTTTTAATATAATTTTTTTATCTGATTTATTTATTTTATAAAGATTTGCCCTGTTTTACCAAATTTTTACGACTATTTTGACTTTTTTTAATATTTGATTTAATCTATTAAACTTATGAAATGTATTTTCATTTAATTCTATCGGCGCGATGCGCCGATATAATTAAGACAGTAAATCCCCTCAATATGATGTTACGAAGACTTTGCGGATATTTATTCTACAATAAATTAGATTCTTATTTTTATATTTTTTATGACTTGTTTTTGATAGTTTTCGTTCAGAAATTTTAATCATATTTTAAGTAAACATATATTAGTATTCTTCATTATTTGTTTGGCGCAAAGCGCCAACCAAATAGTGAATATTTCGATTTTTCAAAAAATTATTAAATTTGGCCGAAGGTGGCGTGCTTGCCCGAAGGGCAAGCGAAGCCACCTGAGGCCCCAAATTATATTTGATCAAATATATATCTTCACACTGCAGATCAATAAATCACATGATATGCTTGTGGCGGGCAATGTAATTTTACTAATTAGAAGATAGAATATGCATTACAAATACCTATATATTATGAATATCAAATTAAAATAGGAAATTTCATAGATTTTTTCATTTTGTCCACAAAAGTGAGTTACCGTGAAATTTCGGTAAAATTATGACATCTAAAATTTTTGATTGATGTCCAAGGGAGAAATTAACCAAAATCATTATGACAAATTGATGGAGATTTATACAGGATATAATGATGTCTTCAATGCTTTGTACAGGCTGAAAACAAGTGACGAAGAAAAATTAAACGCAATTTACAAAAAAATCAAACAAAACCTGATTGACTCTTATCAAATTCCACCTGATGCGATAATCACTGAAATATCCCAACTTTCAATTTATAACAACCGCTACATGAAGTCATATTTAGTGATTGCCAAACAAATTGTTGACGAATACCATCTAAATCATGTCAACGGAATCGACAGAGTTTTTAATTACCTTTTCTACAAAGAATACATCACAGTATTGAATGAATATATGAAATATCATTTTAACTATTATGAAGATGCTCATTATTCATCTGATATTCACAACCAAAAAACACTTCACAGATCTATTATGGATGATGACAAAATAGCATTGATAAATTTTACAGAAAAAGAAGGATTTGATAAAAATCAAAAATTTTTATGCGATTTATATCCATTTTTAGGAGGATATGGTATTTCTTTACTTGAATTATGTTGTTATCATGGATCTGTTGATTGTTTTAAGTTTTTAAGAACGAAATTTCAATCAGAAATCACTCCAACTTGTCTTAGATATTCTTTTTTGGGTGGAAATCCAGAAATTATGAATGAATGCTTGAAAGTACAAAAACCAGATGCATTATGCATGAAATATGCAATTATATCACACAATATTGATTTTGTCACATTTTTGATGAATGAACACAACATAAAAATTGATTTAAAATTGTGCTCTAAATACAATAACCTTCAATCATTTTTAATTTATTTGGATCAAACAAATGACATCAACACATGTTTTGTTTATTCTCTGAATTTCCATCTTTCATCACTTTTAGAATATTTTATTTCAAATGGTGCAGATATCAATGCTAAAGACATAAATGAATTTACCCCTCTTCATTGTGCAGCCAGGAATAACAGCAAAGAAACTGCAGAAATTCTTATTTCAAATGGTGCAGATATCAATGCTAAAACTAAAGATGAATTTACCCCTCTTCATTGTGCAGCCAGGAATAACAGCAAAGAAACTGCAGAAATTATTATTTCAAATGGTGCAGATATCAATGCTAAAACTAAAGATGAATTTACCCCTCTTCATTCTGCAGCCATGAATAACAGCAAAGAAACTACAGAAATTCTAATTTTAAATGGTGCAGATATCAATGCTAAAGTCTGAAGAGGGGTGAGTCCTCTTCAATATGCAGCCTGCTCTCACAGCAAAGAAACTGCAGAAATTCTTATTTCAAACAAGACAAAATAAAGAGTCTTCTCTTATATTCTATGCAAATAAACTTGATTGAAAAGTTCATTCAACTTTACTTATCATCATACAAGATTTAAATAAAAAAGATTTATATAAGTTTTTACTGAGAAGCACGGGTAATATTTTCAACAAATGTAAGAGCGACATCGAGTGGTGTTGCCTTGTTCTATATCTAAAATTATATGCTTTATATAGTTAAATAACATTATACTGTTTCTTAGCAATCATCTTTGACATTAACACCATGCGGCAATTATTAGTTATTTTGATTTTCATATGAATTTCTCATGATTAAAATGATGAATATATAATCGGATACTAATGCTATTTATGTTGTCTATTTTCCAATATCTTTCACTAGAAAATACTTCATAGAATGCAGTTTCAATTGTTTATGATATTTTGTAGTATGATCAATACATTACAATGCTAGATCATTTATATTGCATGGGTTAATAAGTTGGTCATTAATTTACTGAACAAATAACAAATATTTATTATATAAAAAAAACACAAAAGAAAGATTAGAATATCCATATTATCTACATGTTATAATATCAGAATCAATACTGTTGATATACTTTTTGATCAGTGATAAAGCAAATGGAGAGAGCTGTGAGAATTTGAATGAAAATTTGTTTTTCTTTGGAACAATAGTTTTATCGTAAGATGTAGCAAGAGCTGCTAATTTCTGTATTGCTTCGTCGCTTTCAGCTGAAACGCCATCTGCACTAAAATCGAACACTTCTACAACTAAATGATCAAATCCTCCTTGTATAAATGGTTTCTTAGGAAGAGAATTTGTTACTTCTCCCTCTTTAGGCATTTGATCTGGTGAATTACAAATTTCATTTGATAATTCCTTTATTTTATCAGCAATTATATTTAATTCGCGAGACGTACTATTATTCTTTGAAGACGCGATAACTTTATCCATTTCTTCGTAAAAGATTTGCAATAATGTTTGTCCAGCTAAGCCAATTTTTGAATTTTTACCGCTAATTTTTATTAAATTGTTAATTGCTCGACTCACATCATCTATAACTTTATTGGATGATTGATATTTTCCTGATTGCACGTTGTCGTATATCATTTCTAAGGTTAGGTTGGAAATTTTAGCTTCATAGTGCTTAGACATAATTGGTTCTAAAAATTTTGCTAATGGGGAAGCTCTTACTTTATCTAATACATTACAACAATTAATTCTTTCACCGAAGTCCATTGTGAATGATTTTTTATTTTAGAACCTGAAAATACAACGTTGAGTGGATAAGAATATGGATAAAAATATAAATTTCAATTTTTGCCTAATGAAATTATTTCGTTTACAAAATGTGAAATTTTCATTTTTACATATTTTTGCATATTAAGCATTGATTATCAAATCATATCAGAAACGATGAAATTTGAAAGCAAATCAAAAATAATTTCAATGGGAGTAGGAAACGCAGCATGGATTTTAATGTCTATGGTATCTTCTACAGCTCTGATTATGACAAATAAATATATTATGAATACATATCATTTCAAATGGGCTATTACACTTTCAGCTTACCATTTCTTTTGCACATACGTTTTATTAGAGATAATGTGCAGATTACATTTGTTTGAACGTGCAACTCACGTACCTGCCAGTGCTCGCTGGAATAATGCTTTCTTCAATGTTTGCGGAATCGTTTTCATGAACTTTAATCTTAACAAAAACTCTGTTGGCTTTTATCAACTTTCGAAGCTATGCACAATTCCTGTTATGGTTTTAGCAAACTATATCTTTTACGGAAAGAAGACACCATTTCGTACATTATGCTGCTTAGCTGTTCTCTTAGTAGGTATTGCTATGTTTACCATTAACGAAGTTAGCGTAAACTACCTTGGATGCATCTTAGCTATCATTGCAGTCGTTTTCACTACTGCTTCACAAATGAACACAAATATCGCATCAAACAAATACAAATGCTTTGGCCCTCCAATGCAACACATTACAGCTTTACCAATGGCAGCTTTTGGCCTTATCTCAAGCCTTTCCATTGAAACTTTTGGAGAAAATTCGATTTATTTACATTCATTTGAACGAACTGAAATCATTTTAGTCTTATTTACAGGTGTAATTGCGCTTGTTTCCAACGTTTGCGCCTTCGCATTAATCGGAAAAACATCAGCAGTTACATATCAAGTTACGGGCCATGCAAAGACCATCATTATCTTCATAATCGGTCTTCTTTACATGGACTCAAACGCAAATGAGACAAGAGAACAGACAATCAAGAAGATTATTGGTTTAATCTTCGGAATGGGCGGAACAATCGCTTATACAATCTTCGAAATGCAGGATAAAGCAGCTGCAGCGAAGAGCAAAGAGGAGAAAAAGAGTGATGAACAAGAACTCAAGAGCGACAGCCCAAGAACAACAGAATTTTTACAGGTTCCAGAAAATATTGATGATTCTGATAGTATTGCAGAAGACAAAGAGAAAAAAGATGAGAACCAACCATGATTTATTATTAAAATATAGTTATGGTTTTTTTTTTATTATATTTCGGAATATAATTTCTTTTTTACTATTACGGAATATGTAATTTTCTATAAAATTTCAATAAAACTAAAAGAGAGGAGAAAAATCGTCATAGATCGAAATGAAATCATGAACATTTAGGCCCAGAGAAAAAATTTTGATTTAACATAGGAACATTATAGCAAATTTCTACGTTTGAATGCTTTAAAAAGATATAGACTTATAATATTGGCTGATTAAGAGCAGATTTTTCTCAATATTCATTATTTTATAAAAAATAGATCAATGCACGTGATAGATGGACAATTTGATTATGTAATCTCTAATAACGAACACTAAAGAAACATTGTTGAAATGAGATATTTAATTTTAACCATCGAACATATTTCCAAGCTCAATTAAACTTCATGTTAGGCATATTAGTCAGACTAATATCATGTGCATGTATATCATATAGATACAGTAATATCTAATTTAGATTGAGTGATAAAATCCTTACAAATGAAAAATACTAGTGGATTATGCAAATTAAACAAGATAAACAAACAAATTTTATATTAACAATAAACAAAAATATAAAAATTAAAAATATAATAATCTAATCTTCCGACTTCGAATCTTCTTCCTCACCAATATCTTCATCTTCTATAATTGAGTCCAGAATAGAATCCTCTTCATTAATCTTATTTTCCACTTTATCGTTGTATTCAATGTGAGGAAGTGGACCTTCCATTGCGTCAGGGAAGTATTCATCAAATTTAGCAATGACTTGTGTTAATGATGGCCTTCTACTGACAGATCTCTGTAGAACAAATTCGATAAATCCGCTAAATCTCATATCTTTTGGTAATTTCTTCATGCACTGAGGAGTAATTAATGCTTCTTTAGGATCAGTAACCCTTGTAAAGAACCTTGACCAGTCTGTATCAACAAATAAGAATTCTCCTGTCAAAAGTTCGTAAAAAAGACAGCCAATGCTCCATACATCGCTTGCCGGACCTGCTCCAACCTGTTTTCTCCTATCGAATGTTGGATTATTGACTGATGCATTGATAGCAATTGACAACATTTCCGGTGATTTTATCCATTCTGTTCCTCTGTTGAGTTGTGTGTAACTTGAGGCTTCATTCTTGTAACAGATACTTTCACCGAAGTCTGCCAATGCCGGATACCCGTTTTTATCGAGAACAACGTTGTCGCATTTGATATCAAAATGATTAATTCTGTTATCCAAGAGAACTGTCGCAGCATTGAGGAACTCTTTGAATAAGCGAATAATTGTTGGTAGAGGAGGATTGCTTTGGAAGCTCTTTCGCCATGTTTTCAACGTCATTGGATAAAATTCCATGACAATGTAGTAAGAATCACTTGTACAGCCGTAATTAAGCAACTGTGTGACACGTCTATCGCCTTTGCATAGCTCTAGAATCGAGATTTCTCCGAAAACATCTACTAATTTTGGATTATCGAATGTATCTCGACTTTTTTGAAGGATTTTAACGGCAACTTTTACATCATTGACCATTACAGCCATGACGGCACCAAATGCTCCAGATGCAATATGTTGTCCGTTCTTATAATCCTCTGGATTAAACATTTCAGGGACAAGAAGTCTGAGAAGTCGCAGATAGTTGTTGAACTGTTCCATTTCATCGATCTTTGATATATTCTTGTCATTCTTTTCTTCATCTTCCGTTGGAAAATGATGATCAGAATAATTCATCAATAAATCATCATCAATTGAGTTTGAAATGAAAGAAGGAAGAGTTATGTTACCTGCAGAGTTCAAACTTAAATTCTTTGCAACTCCACCTTTATCTGAAAATGTTTTCTTCAAAAAGTTCGAAGAAAGCTTCGGAATTTCTGGAGAATAGGCTTCTTTGAGCATTGGCGTGATTTCTTCGTTCTGTTTCATCTCCATGTGCCTCATTAAAGTAAATAATACGTTTGGTTTGCGATTTACTTGAGGGAATGGATCAACGAACACATTATCGAAGTTGTGAATTTGGTGGTCAATGAGAAAAGCGAAAATAAGTTGAATAAACTTCACATGAATTTCAGTATCAAAATAAATCGGCATTGACTCTCTAAGATCGTTATAATCACGCATGGATATAGATTCCGACTTCTTGTATGGCTTCTGAGCTTTGTTAAGGGCAATTTGTGGCTTTGGATTTTCCAAATTTAGAAGTGGAAGCATCTTATTCATATCCTGCTGTGAAAGTTTCTTCGTTAGAGGGAAAATCATTTGAGTTCCCTTCTTAAAAACCTGCGCAATTGGTCTTGGACCTTGATGACTTCCTAATTTGTCATCAATCAGCTCTTCCAGGCCAATATTCTTCATAACGAAGTCTAAGAAGTGTAGAGATGCTAGTTGTTCGTTGATTAATTGAGAACGATTTGCAATAATTGAAGTTATCACTTCAAGAATGCAACTAATGATTGATATCCTCAAAACTTGCTTTGTTAGTTCATGTATGAGGATATGAATGAAATAACAAAGGTGCCATTGAACAGATTCGACGTCAAGATTATTTAATACAGTTGAAATGAAAGAAACTCCAGTTTGGATACATGTTTTGTAGTCTTTACACTGTTCAATGAAATTCTGTGCCGTTGAATAAGCAACAGATCTAAGAGTACTATGCTGAGCGAATGGTTCTGGAAAATTAACTCCGAAAGAGAGCATAATCGTTAGAGCCGACCTAACAAAGTTTGTCATTGGTCTGTCAATTAATTCGTCAACGAATTTTGTTGTTTTTTCGGTAACTAAAATCGAAATTTGATTATGGAACAAAGGATTGGCAGAAATGCGGAGGAACGAATCAAATGCAGCAAAGAATGGTAAAAGCTGTTCTTGGTTATCGATTTTAACAAAATATGGAATTAATTTTCCTAATAACATCGGAACAGAGTTTTTCAAGTACATTTTATTTGCGAAGTCTCTTGCAAAGTAACATGCTGCAGTTTGGTTCTCAGTCAGAAGGTTATTGAAGAATTCAGAAAATAATTTTTCATCAAAATACCTTTCGAAGTGCATCATAAGCTGATCTCTCATGGAAATGAAGACTAAAAACTCTGATGCGATCGAATTGATCTCTTCCTCTGAAAAAACCGATAAATGTAAATTTGATGAATTTTCTTTGTAAATTTGAGTCAAATTTGTGAGGATAATCTTCGGTATTTCCAATTCACTTGGCTTTAGAGATAGTCTTGCAGGCCTAGTTATCTCAAAAACGTCTTCTTTGTAGTGAACATGCGGAAATACGACAAAAGTTGATGCAAAACGTTCAGTTAGAGCCCAACCAAGAGCTTCTCCAAACATATTTATATCGTTTTCGTTCAGATAACTCTTAATTTTCATGTCTTCGTACGCACGACGAGTAATTCTTGTTCCTGGCTGATAATCCGCACTAATTTCCGGTCCTAATGCAATGGCAGGCACTTCTGACTCAGGATTGACCTTTGGCTTGTCTTGATTTGTTCTCTGAATTTTGACAAGATTTGAATATTTGATTTTCTTCTTTGTATTGCGACTTTCTGCCATTTTCTTTTGACGTCTTTCTTTAACAAGCTCTTTACAAAAGTCTTTTAGCTGAAGAGCCTTCATATATGGAGTTCCTGTCGCATTTATATTAAATTTTGAATTCATTGAATTTATTTTGCTCAGAATTGCTTTGTAAACTTCTTCTTCACCTTTCAATTGGAGTGTGGAAGCTTCAATTTTGTTCTTTAGCTTCTTACATTCGTGCTGAACCAAATTTAAGCGTCTTTCAAGTTGAGCATTGTTTCTTCTTATGCCATCGAACATATTATGCAGTTTTGTTGGTTCTGTTGTATTAAATCTCTGTATTAATTTCGTATAATTTTTTAAAATTCTTGAATTTTCAGGTCCGAATAGAGTTTCTAGGGTCATCTGAGGATCAGTATCTATTCTGTTGCCTTTTAATGATGGAAGCGATGATCTGGGATTAGGAGGCATCATATTTTGACTCTCAAGTTGTTTCACGATCTTTACTTCTTGAGATACGAACTTTCTTCGACATATATATGCAGAATGAAGTTGATTGACATATGTTTTGTTTACTGAACCTGATCTCTTTGGAAAATTTTGTAATCGAATTTTTGGCTGCAAATTTTGAGGTGGTGGATTTTCTGGAATTGGTACTGGTTCAGGTGGTGGAGTTTCCTTTTCAACTTGTATTGATTTATCCAATATAAAATTTAATTGAGCAACTTCATTTATTAATTGATGGCTAAGGATGTATTTATGTGAATATTCTTTGTATATATCTGTGTATTCGATCAAGATTTCCAATTTCGACTTGATATTCGTGTTTTTTATCTCTTTTATTATATTTTTTGTCGATTCTTGGTATTTGTTGATACCGAGTTGTGTTTGCTTGATCTGATGCATCAATGCGTTGATATTGTTCTGCAGATGTGTAATATATTCACTAGTATTTTCGATGTCAAACTCCAAATCCCAAAAATAACGAGGTTAAAAAAATTTTTTTATATCTCAATCTTTAAATTTTCTTTGAGAAGCTAGAAAACACCCTTAAAACAAGTTGTTAAAAAGAATATTTGCGAAAAATCAAGAATAATGAAGAAATACCGATTCAAAGATTATTTGCGTCAATTGAGCTTGATGATTAGATAAAACAATATTTCAGTCATAGGCACACTAAATCCCATATTGTATAGTTTCATAAGGAAAGATATATTTTAGGGAAAAATATCGAATTGATTTTCAATAAAATTATTTGGTACTTATAACTACATTAATGAGTATATTAGTAACCTTGAGTTTCAAAGGTAAATTCTCTATATTGGAAGAAAATTTTTATTCAATTTCGTTAAATTTCTTTCGTTTCATATTCGTTCATATACACAATAGATAGTTAATATAAAAGTACAATTAAAGGAGACACAATTTGAAGAAAATTAATATTTTTGTCTCCGAAGATTATTTGAAATAAAGCTGAATAACTAAAGTATATATATCAGTAGATTAAACATGTTCAAAATCTAGTATATTTACATATAAAAACTTTATTGATAGAGAGATATGATATGCAAATTAGGTATTGTGTACGCTACCCACAACAACTTTTTAGATATCTTAGGAGCACATAACAAGCACAACCAATGTGCAGACACAGATTTTGGCTATCTCTCTCAGAGGACCCAGGATTTTTGTTGAAAGCGGTTATGTCTCTTATCAATCCAGGACCATAATTCTGAACACTAAATGGCTCTTGTCTTTGGAAATATTCATGCGGTACCAAAATCATCTCAAGAGCTTATAGATACAGTGCTCAGTTCTACAAACCGTAAAACAGCCACAATCATTCACCCTGGTTTCAAAATATCACGAATTCGCGACTTTTACATGAACAAAGTAAATTTTGCCCGTGATCAATTTACAAGCAGACTCACACAGATTCTCGAAGATTTTCCACGTCTTGACAGCATTCATCCATTTTGGGCATCTTTGATTAACGTTATCTACGATCGTGATCACTACAAATTGGCTCTTGGACAAATTATCGGTGCCAAGACACTTATTCACAACGTAGGTCGTGATTATGTCAAGTATCTCAAGTATGGTGACTCTCTTTTCCGTTGCAAGCAGCTTAAAAAGGCCGCTCTTGGTCGTATGTGCACAGCCTGCCGTCGTTTGACTCCTTCCTTACAATATCTTGAAGAAGTTCGTCAACATTTACAACGTTTACCAGCCATTGACCCAAGCGCACCAACAATCATCCTTGCCGGTGCTCCATCAACAGGTAAATCATCTTTCATGAATCAGATTACACGCGCCAATGTCGAAGTTGCCGCATTTCCATTCACAACAAAGTCTCTTTATCTCGGCCACACAGACTGGGCCTTCCTCACCTGGCAAGTCATTGATACACCAGGTCTTCTCGATCGTCCACTTGAAAAGCGTAATACAATCGAAATGCAGTCCGTCATGGCTATGGTTCATCTTCGTGCAGCTATTGTCTACATGCTTGATATCTCCGGCACCTGCGGCTACTCCGTTGAGCAGCAAGTCTCTCTTTACCACAGCCTTGGCGAAATCTTCGCAAACAGACCAGTCACCGTTGTTCTTACAAAGACCGACCTTGTCAACCCAGACAACATGTCTCCAGAAGACAAGGCCCTCATCGATTCCATGCAAGGACCAAATGTCTCCTTCATGAGAATGTCATCAATGACAGGCGACGGCGTCTCCGAAGTTAAGGAGCATGTCTGCCAAGGCCTTCGTAAGATGAGAGTTGACTCCAAGAAGAACTCAGATAAAATATCTCAAATCGAATCCCAGCTCCACATTGCTAAACCAGAGCAAACCTACGAGCCAAACATCCCAGCCTCCGTTGCCAACCCACAAGGCCTCGGAAGACCAACACAGAAGGAACTCGAGGAAATGGCTGGTGGAGCCGGCCAATATGCGGCCAATACCAACGCAGAACGCGACCTGAAGAACCCAGAATGGCAGAACGACGTAATGCCAGAGATTATCGAAGGCCGCAATATTGCGGATTACATCGACCCCGACATCGAGAAGAAGTTTGCTGCTCTTCTTGAAGAGGAGAAGGTCAGGTACCAGAACTACCAGGCAGTGAAGCAGGCTTTCGAAGAGAACAAGTGGAAAGTCACTCCAGAACAGGAAGAGATGGTCAGCATCATCAGAGAGAGGCGCCAGATGATCAGAAACAAGGCGGAAGAGAAGAGAAACGGAAGACCTGGAATGCCGGAGAAGATGAAGAAACAGAGCAAATCTGTAATCGCAGATAGAGTCGACTCAATGCTACAGGAGCGCGGCGTCGACGAGAGCGCTCGTCAGCGTGCAGTCGACAAAGTACTCTCTGAGAAGCCATCGAGAGTCGAAAGAAAGTTAGAACCAGAAAAACGTGACACTGGTATCGTCAAACACGGTGCTGGTGAAAGATTCGACTACTATGTCAAGACTAACTACATCCTTGAGCCAAAGTTCCTGTTCAGTGGAAAGGCTGGCTTCAAACGTGACTACAAATAGAGAAATTTTTTTATTTTATTTTATTTTTACATACTATAAAGATTTTTTTTATAAATGACTATATGCGCTTTTTTTAAACAATAGATCCAATATGAGTAAATATAACACAAAGTGATCTTGGACACTTAATTATAAGATCACGCTCAGCAATCTCAGAAAATCGACAAAAAATCCATTTAAAAAAGAGTGAACTTTAACTTGAAATCATATCCTAAAACATGATCAGCATTTCGAAAATACATCATTTAACTCATATCTTTAAGATTATGGGTCAAAAATCTTAAGATTTAAACATGGATTCATCCTCAACGACTAAATCTTTGGATTTTTTTTTGAATTTTTGAATTTTTGAGTGAATTCTCTTATTACGCACTTATGAATTCTGCGAAAGAATACAATGATATTTTGCGCAGATTATATAGGTTACAGATATCAAGTGATAGCGATATCGACGCTTTTTTCAAAGAATTAGATAAGGTTATTGCCCTAAAATTCAGTTATAGACACTTAGGAGAGCATTTAAGCCATGATATTTTGGCATATGATAGAGAAACATCTTATAAACATTTTCAGTATGTTTTCCTATAAAATAACGATCTCACATGAAATTACTAAAATATCAAATTTTGATTTTCACTTTAAAGTTGGGAGAATACTCTACAGTGACAGGGTATACAATTTTAACCTTTGTTTTGATTATAAATAAAGTATTGATAGAGATATGAGTTGTACAGAATTATACACGTGTGTTTAATCAAATGTAAGTTGTGCAACAATAATGATTAGCTAGATAGTATATTAAGGAACTGTGATTTATGATCTAATTCAATAAGATGTAAATGATATTCAAATATATTAAATAAATGCGAATGTTCAAGATGTGAAATCAGTTAGTTAATTGTTGTATATAGATATTTTACTGTGATTAATGAATTTTTTAACAATTTAAAATTATCAAATTTCAAAATATGCGCAATGAGATAATTTGAGAGTATTTTGAGAACTGAAGACTTATGATTTAGTGTTTTTGAATAAGCACATCAATATAAAGATAGAAAATAAATTGAGATATAATTTTTTTGAAGGTATTATAAGGGTGGAGGTAGTAGGATAAATTTTTAATGTTCTATACTTTCATGGCAAATAATTAAATAGAAGTAAAACTTTGTTTTAAGAATTGAAAATTTTAAATAAAAAAGGAATGTTAGTAATGCTAATTTATTTGATTCCGGGGGACACCCCGGTTATCAAATATATTTATTAAAATGGAAAATCTCTCACTTTTCGAAAAAATCGAAACTGCAAGGATCTCCGATTCTCGATATGATAATTTATTTGATTCCGGGGGACGCCCCGGTTATCAAATATATTTATTAGAACGGAAAATCTCTCACTTTTCGAAAAAATCGAAACTGCAAGGATCTCCGATTCTCGATATGATAATTTATTTGATTCCGGGGGACGCCCCGGTTATCAAATATATTTATTAGAACGGAAAATCTCTCACTTTTCGAAAAAATCGAAACTGCAAGGATCTCCGATTCTCGATATGATAATTTATTTGATTCCGGGGGACGCCCCGGTTATCAAATATATTTATTAGAACGGAAAATCTCTCACTTTTCGAAATTTTTTTTAACAAAAATATGGCATTCTTAAATTATAGTTACATGTTATTTCACAATCATTATCATTAAAAAATTCAATTATTCAAGTTGTTTTGTCCCGACGGTTTTTACGGTTATAAAAATGGTTGCGAACTCAATCCATCAGCAAAATGTCGGTTGGGGTGCCCTTCTTGGCCTCCTGAGTACTCACCAAGATACCCCCAGCTCCCGCAAAACACCTCCCTTAGGTGAGCATTAACTGATGACATGAGTTAACAATTCTACAAAATCATCAAGCATGAAGGTTTATGATTTATAAATCAAAATCTCAGAAACTGCTTGACTTTGCAAGTTGCTGTCTTTACCGGTTACTCTGCTGCAATCTCTTTTCTGATTGCAGGCAGAGTTCTGCATCCTGAGGACTTTGCCTTGCAGATATGCTTGTAATCACTACGTGAGCAACTTGGTGTTGCAAGTTGCTGTCTTTACCGGTTACTCTGCTGCAATCTCTTTTCTGATTGCAGGCAAAGTTCTGCATCCTGAGGACTTTGCCTTGCAGATATGCTTGTAATCACTACGTGAGCAACTTGGTGTTGCAAGTTGCTGTCTTTACCGGTTAGCTTTTTTTGAAGTTTCTTCGCATCTTATATAAGCTCTAGATCAATATTTATCATCAGAATTTGCATCTCATAAAGCACAATATTAATCAAATAGGCAAATTTCATTCGGAGTCTCTCATTAAATGAGAAACTCCGAATGAGATTTGCTCTAAGGTAATGTACTTGTTATGCTTGGCCTAGAAGCAAGGAGGAAACATGTATATGGTTTGTTTATACTGAAGTTATCTGGAATTCTCTCAATTGAGGATTCAAATCCAGATAACAGCAGTATAAGTTAATATTGTTGTGCACCTCAGGTTGTTTATAGGCCCGAGAACGAGAAAAGAATTTATGGTGTGAATTGGCTCGATATATACCTACGCTCTGTAAAAAATACGTTATATTTTCTTTCATATGAGAAAAATGTTTTTCTTTTTTATAATACTATGTGCTTTGTTACTTCATAAATTGTCTATTTTTCTTATTAAAACCTATTTTTTCCGTGTGATTCGGAATCTACGCATTCAAAAAATGCGTTTTCCGCTCTCAGAACGCGAAAATATGAACTACATGACGAGATAAATCGATTTATTATGTTCCTAAATATTCTCATTTTTCAATCTTGCTCAATACTCAAAAATAAGCAGACTCTCAAATAGAGAACATAAAATAACTCATATTTATCATATTAAAATTTTGAAAAAGTCTCCCGAAAAAATCATATTTCGAAAATTTCAAAAAAATAAGTACATTTTTCGCCAAAGAAAAAAGAAAAATGTTTTTTTTTGAATTTTTGATGATAATATGCACTCCTGACGGTCGCAGTGTCTCATTCCGGGAGACATTGCCTGTGCATGTCTCCCAGAATGGCATACTGTTCCGCATTCATAACTTGAATGCGGAACTTTGACCGACAAGAGTGCATTGTGCACTCTTGTTGGTCTGCATGTGTCATTCCGGGAGACATTGCCTGTGCATGTCTCCCAGAACGAGACAATTTATTGCAATCAGAATACGATTGCAAAACTTTGACCGACAAGAGTGCATTGTGCACTCTTGTTTGTCATCCACTATGATACTTAGAGAAAATACTTTACTTACATTATTTAAAATATTAATTTCCCTATTTAATATTTATTTATTATTTTTTGTGCTTTATATTCCCTATGGCATGTACTGAACTATTTTATAGACTCTACCGAGCTATCTCCACATATAAACATTTGACAATAACACATATATACTCTCTTCATATTCTAGTCTCATGACATATTATTGCAAAAGCTATATTTATACAGCATACCTCATAAAGTCTCATTATATCCCTATCTAAGCGTTCAAAACCTATTTTCCCCACGTAATCTGATTCTTCAGGCTCCGCTGATTCGATTTCTGCTGTCAGATCGTGAAAATATGAATCACATAACAAGATAAACACAAGTTACCCAACTTGATATTTTCCGTAAAAAAACAACATCATTTTAGAAAAATTCAATTTTTTCCAAAAGTGTGTGAATTCAAAAAGTCACAATATATCTAGTTATTACCCAGTATTAATTTTTTAATTTAGTTTTTGAGATATTCATTTTATAATACGTATTATTCAGAAAATTAAATACATTTGTAAGGGAAAACGGAATTAATAACAAATATATGAATATCGTGGAAGAGTCAATTTGAAGAAAACATTATTATTTTGGATTTGTGTTTATCTTGTTATGTGATTCATATTTTCACGATCTGACAGCAGAAATCGAATCAGCGGAGCCTGAAGAATCAGATTACGTGGGGAAAATAGGTTTTGAACGCTTAGATAGGGATATAATGAGACTTTATGAGGTATGCTGTATAAATATAGCTTTTGCAATAATATGTCATGAGACTAGAATATGAAGAGAGTATATATGTGTTATTGTCAAATGTTTATATGTGGAGATAGCTCGGTAGAGTCTATAAAATAGTTCAGTACATGCCATAGGGAATATAAAGCACAAAAAATAATAAATAAATATTAAATAGGGAAATTAATATTTTAAATAATGTAAGTAAAGTATTTTCTCTAAGTATCATAGTGGATGACAAACAAGAGTGCACAATGCACTCTTGTCGGTCAAAGTTTTGCAATCGTATTCTGATTGCAATAAATTGTCCATTCTGGGAGACATGCACAGGCAATGTCTCCCGGAATGACACATGCAGACCAACAAGAGTGCACAATGCACTCTTGTCGGTCAAAGTTCCGCATTCAAGTTATGAATGCGGAACAGTATGCCATTCTGGGAGACATGCACAGGCAATGTCTCCCGGAATGACACATGCAGACCAACAAGAGTGCACAATGCACTCTTGTCGGTCAAAGTTTTGCAATCGTATTCTGATGCAATATGCCATTCTGGGAGACATGCACAGGCAATGTCTCCCGGAATGACACATGCAGACCAACAAGAGTGCACAATGCACTCTTGTCGGTCAAAGTTCCGCATTCAAGTTATGAATGCGGAACAGTATGCCATTCTGGGAGACATGCACAGGCAATGTCTCCCGGAATGACACATGCAGACCAACAAGAGTGCACAATGCACTCTTGTCGGTCAAAGTTCCGCATTCAAGTTATGAATGCGGAACAGTATGCCATTCTGGGAGACATGCACAGGCAATGTCTCCCGGAATGACACATGCAGACCAACAAGAGTGAACAATCCGCTTTCTCCTTTGAAATCCAACATTCTAATCACATCTACATTAATAAATTGTTATAAAATACTAATCAAAGATCCAATACAATTCTACTATC